TTTGTACAAGTAAACAATCACCAGCTGCAAGCACAATAATAAGGCACAAACTGATAAGTAAATTGTGCTAATAAAAAATAACCACCTGTGAGTTCACTGAACTACATCCAAAGCACACGGACATATCAAACCCATATCAGAAAAACCAGGGCTGTGAGCTTATCAATCTTACCAGATGCAACTCCCTCACATAAAAAGAGAGGCACCTAAGACAGTGGTGTGGAATCACATCCATCAGACAATCCACTGAACACATTAGGAGGTTGACAGGTATTGAAAACCCAACTCCACCTCCAGGACTTCAGCTTAGCTTGATTGTCCTGCTTGATGTGGCTGGCCCACTTTGAAACTGCCTGCTGTCTGCCCCGTGAAGAATAAGTTCTATCCCCTGAAAGCTCTGCACTCAGAACTAGTTCTTAGGCTGGTTCATAAGCCACCTGCAGTGTTTTTTTTGAATGAGTATATGCTCTGCCTCTGCTCTTCAAAGGCCTCTTGCAACCCTGTGGTCACCTAACCCTTTCATAGCCTTTCTTGTAATACACACACACATAATTTGGTAAAATATGATGTAATTAAGATTGAAATGGAATAAGAGAATTTGTGATTGTTTCAGTCATAACACCAAGAGAATCAGGAGAATTTTTTTTTTTTTGGTGAATTAAAGTCCATGAAAATGATGTGGCTTTTCAATTTGTAATTCAATAAACTCTGACATTGTGGAAAGACACAAATATGTCTGGTTTACATTCATGGCATAGCCTACTGAGGACACCGGCCTTAGCCTTGTTTTTAATCCCCTTCAATGCAGTACTGCACTACAACAGGTGAGTACCAAATCGGGGTGTATTGTGAGCTGCCTGTGGAGCACCCCTCGCAGTTGTATTACCATCTCTGTAGCCTTGGCGAAGGGGGAAGAGTTAGGCTGCGTCGGGCTACACAACACCAGCCTGGCAGGGCCAACAGAGCACACTGCCATTCGCTACCAAGGGCCGGGAGAGGGGCGGGGTCTGTCCATCAGGCAGCGCCGAGGCTGGGAGGCGCGCAGGGGGAGTGGTACCGGCCTGCGATCCGCAGGCAGGGGGCGCGCCTCGCAGGGTCCTGCTGCCCACAGGTAGGCGGATCCAGCTGTGCTCGACCAGGAGCGGGAGCCGAACCAGAGGACGCCAGCGGGCTGACTTCGGCGGGATGGCGGCCGCAGCCGTGAGCGGTGCCAAACGGAGCCTACGGGCCGAGCTGAAGCAGCGTCTGCGGGCAATCAGCGCCGAGGAACGGCTGCGCCAGTCCCGCCTACTGACCCAGAAGGTGCGAAGCCACGGGGTAGCTCACGCTACCGCGGACTCACTGGCCGAATTCCGCTTTGCCCGGGCTTGCGGGTCCACGCAGGCGCAGCACCTTGAGCGCGCGCACGTCCCCTCGGGTGCACGCACGTTCCCCGGCGCGCGCACGCGGCACTCGCTTCTCGTGCTGTGGAGGCGCTGCAGGCGCGGTGGCTGCAGTATGAGAGGAGCCCACGGTGTGGTGTGGAGTCGTGGAACTAATGAGGAAGAGGGAGGGAGCGGAGTTGTTAGGATGGGTGGCTCCTGTAGTGAATGAGAACTTCTTAATGGGGATAGTGGAGATACTGAGGTGAAACCAGGGTCAGAACGCGAAGTTCCGGTGAAGGAGATGGGTGGACGATCCCAGCGCTGAGGTTCCTTCAGTCTTAAGGAAAACGAGCCGCGGCCTGAGAGGCCAGGCATGTCAGTAACACGATCAGAGAAAGATGCGTTTAGTTCAGTCCAAGGCACACCCCAAGAGGGTGCGGAGGTGCCAAAGGACGGAAGACAAGTTGGCTTCTCGGCTCTCAGCACGTGGACGTCTGGGGCTGTCTAGAGCCTCCAGGCCTACTGTTTTCTGTCGCAGAGTGGGTGAACAGTCAGTCCTTTTTTTTTGAATTAATGAGGAAGTGATTATCTTACTCAGGCTTCTCAAGAAGGTAGGAAGCAGAAGAGAAGCATAGGAAAAATGAGGTTCCCCGTTTGCTTTATGACTTTGTTTAACTGACTTGCTGTACATTTTCAGTTTGCTATGAAAAGCTTAATAAAGTGACATTCACTGTCGTGAAAGCATGCTTTAAAGATGTTTGGGAGGCTAGTTTTTGTTGTATGCAGGAGGGGGGCATCAATGCCCAAAGATTAAGTATATATTAGTATAAGTTAAACTAATGATTTTTGCCTTCCCCAGTACCCTATCTTATGATCCGTTATTTTCTCAAATTCAGGTTTCCTATGGGGTAAAGTCTTAAAAACAAGTACACACATTTCATCTTAATAAATGTAGGTATGTCTGTAGATGTTAGTTCATTCAAATGGAATGATTTTAGCTAATATTAGGAAGGCATATCTAGGTGCTTTAGTAGATATTGAGGATACAGAATCTTGTCCTTATATTAGTTGCTTAAAATTTAGCCAATTTATTCACATATTGAACACCATTATACACTTTGCTATGTACTGGGTTGTAGGAAAGAGATAATTGTTGCTTTAAAGCAGTAGAGAATATGAGAGGAAACATGAATTGAAAATTATAATGCAGTTAGAATATGCTGAAGGTAAATATCAGTGTTGGGGAAACAAGTCTTTGGCAGGGGATTTGGAAACTTGAGATGAACTTTGAAGTATAGATGAAGTTTGTTAAGTGAAGGGAAAGATGGGGTGGGGAAACATTTGCAGGGATATGTAGGCAAGAGAGGGCAGGGCATATTTAAAATAAGCTTTGGAACTACACAGATCTGGATTTAATCTGGCGCCACTCCTTTTTTTAAAAAACAAACAAACAAACTGTTTATATATTAGACAAGTCCCCTAATCTCTCTGAATATGCTTGAAGTTCCGTTGTGAGATTGAAGTGGTGTATAAGGAATGTATTCAATATTTTTTAATAGCTCCTGTAGGAGAATATACTGGTAGCATTTGGATAATGGGTTGGGGAGAGAAGACAGAAAAAAAAAAATACGAAGACCAGTAAGGGGCTGTTGTGATAATTTAGGTGAGAGATAATAAAGACATAATCCAGAGGATGGGCATTGAAAAATGGGAGAAAGGAGATAAGTGGGAGATTGTGTAATGAGAATGAGCAGAATTTGGCAGCTGACTGGATAGAGTTTAGACAGTACTGGAAGGAGAGGGTCACCATTCCAAAGTTTAACATTACTGAATATATAAGGAATGTAGGAGTTAGAGTAGATTCTGGAGAGGCATAGGGAAAATAAATTCAGTTTTTTTTTTTTTTTTTGTCTGTGTGTCCACAGAAGTTTTTTTTTTTTTTTTTTTTTTTAAATAGGGTCTTGCTGTGTTGCCTAGATTAGCCTTAAATTTCTGGGCTCAAGGGGCTGGGGATGTGGCTCAAGCGGTAGCGCGCTCGCCTGGTATGTGTGCGGCCCGGGTTCGATACTCAGCACCACATACCAACAAAGATGTTGTGTCTGCCGAGAACTAAAAAATAAATATTAAAAATTCTCTCTCTATCTCTCTCTCCCGCCTCTCTCACTCTCTCTTTAAAAAAAAAAAAAATTTCTGGGCTCAAGCAGTCTTTCCTCAGCCTCCTGTGTAATGTCTGTAAATTATAATTCATAAACTCTAGGTGGAAATAGTAGATTTATAGAGGCAGAACTACTGGCAGCAACAGAGTGACAACTAAGATCTGGCATCAAAGGAAGAGAGAGAAAAATTAAAAAAAACCATATAAGCACATATACACATACAAGGACTTTGTTTCATGACTCTTATTATTTGCAGTGAACTTTAATATTTTCCTTTATATGTCATTTAAAAACACTGATTATAACTCACTAATTATTTTATGACCAACCAATGGATCATGTCCTGAAACATTGGTGTACTGTGACTAGAACAGTGTTTTTGCCTTAGTGAATTCTCAGTAAAGGTATTAAGTGATGTCTTTATCTGAATCATAAAAGAAATTTATTAGCACAGCACCTTTTTTATAATTTAAAAATTTTATAAGGAAAGTAATGTATGGTAAAGAAATTCAACTTTATGTTTTATCTTGACTTTCTAAGGTGAGAAAATTAGTACTCCTTTATTTGCTTTGTTTTTAATATTATTTGCCAATTTCTTCGACCTATTTGATATTGTCAAGTTTTATATGTAAACTATTTTCTGTAACTGTAATGAGTCTACTGAGTGATAATTCCAAACTTGAAATTTTGGTGAACAGTACTTAGAGTATTTTAGTTTTATAGATTATATTCACAGTAGAACCAAGTTGTATAATTGAATATATAAAAAAAAGGATATATAGTTTTAGCTCACTGGATATGTGTGGCTAAGAGGATTATTTCAAATGTTGCTACCCAGTATATTCTCTTTTACTCTGCATCTGCTCAAAACCATGCCACATTTTAACTTTGTTCCTATTTGGAACCCGTATCTAATTTAGCTCTGTATATTTCCAGGATTTAAAAATTGTCTTTATTTTTACCTTTTTGACAAACAAGAGTATGCCTTTGTCTTATCCATAGATTGTTTTTCATTTTGCCTGTTAGAATATAGATCCACTTTCTTTTTCAAGACATCCCAGCCCCTGTTTCTTTGTGATCTGGTTGCACAGTCCTTGCCTTGGAATTTCTGCTTACTTTTCTGCTGAGTTAGGGCTATTTTCTGAGTTTAAATTTTTTTTTCCTTCTTATTACAGTATATCCTCAGGAAAAAAATCTATGGGGGTGGGTAAACTTTTTATTGATTTTTGCATTACAATATTTTACCCTCATTGATAATTTGAATTTAAAATTTAAAATTATTTTCCATGTCATGTTCAATGCTTATGGCCTCCATTCAATCTAGATTGGCATCTTTATTCATCTGTTATATCTTTGATTAATTTCTTTTCTTTTTCACCTTTGTGGAATTCTTTTTAATTTTTTTTTATTTCTAGATGAACACAATACATTTATTTATTTTTATATGGTGTTGAAGATTGAACCCAGTGTCTCACATGTGCTAGGCAAGTGCTCTACCACTGAGCTACAACCCCAGCCCCACCTTTGTGGAATTCTTGTTAATCAGATAATAACCTTAGGTTGGTTTTCTGTGTCTCTACATTTTTCTCATTTTTCCTATTTTTGCTTATTTCCCTTTCTCCAGCACTCTCTCCTAAATTGTTTTTATTTTGCTAATCATAATTTTAATTTCCAATGATCACTTCATAAATCTCTGATTGCTTTCTTCCCACAGCAGTCTCTTGATATTTTACAAATGCAGTTATCTTTTTTAGTTTGAGAAAACTAAGTAGAGTTAAAAAGAACAACAACAACCACAACTCTGTTCTTTAACTTATCTCAGTTTTCCATTGGGCTATCCCCACTCACTCCCTTTTTATTCTTCTACTTTGTATTTTGGCTTCCAAAAGATTTGTTGATCCTTTGTAGTGTGTACTTATTTATGGATGAAATTGTATTAGCTTATGGGATGTCCTCTGTCTTTAGTAGTCACTTTGGTGGAGAGCTTAAGGGAGGAATATGTTCTATCTCACCTGTATCCGTGTTTTCAGAGTGTTGTGATCTGCTGTTTTGTTTGTAAATACTGTCCCATCCACTTTCTGTTTTACAGGAATTATTCAATCCTCTATTCCCTTATTCTCAGTTCTATAATGGATTGTTTTCATGCTTCTTTGCAAGTGTCCTGTAAAGGGATTTGAGGAAGAAGATTATATGCAAAGTCTCACACTGCATTTTTTTTTTCACACTGCATTTTAACTGATCTTTCTTACTGCTTATTCAGCTCTTGCTTTTCTATATTCTGCATTTTAGAGAACAAGAAAGATAAATTCTGTTCATTCATTCATTTTTTTTTTTTGGTGATATTTGGGACTTTATGCATGCTAGGCAAGTGGTCTACCAGTTTTTTTTTCTTCTTCTAATTTTGAGACAGAGTCTTGCAAAATTGCCCAGGCTATTATTTTTAATGAGTTCTCATTCTTACAAGAGTGGTGTGCCAGAAAGGGTAAAAGAATCAGTGATCCTTCTGCCTCAGCCACCTGGCAGCCAAGACACACAACTTTCTCTTATAGCACCTGAATGCTAAAAGCCTCAGGCTTGCCTAAAGTCTGAGTTTCACATTTCCATTTTTCTTTGCCTGTGTCAGGTCTCAGCAACTGTGCAACTTTTCAGAAACCAGGAGTTAACTTACTTCCTCAGCAGTAGTTGGTGTTTTGTATCTGCTTAATTTTCCTTTTCCTCTTTTTAAAAGCAATAACTTGACTTTTTATGCCTGTGTATTTTTGCTAGTCATATTTATAAGAGGCTTTTGCAATGTTTTTCTTGGCTTGGAGGACAGGGGAAAGTAGAAAAAGAAAGGAGAAAAAAAAGAGAGCTAAGGGCCAACATCTGAGTCCAAGTTCCTTAGATTGTTGACTTTTTTATGATTAACAAAGCTCAGCCCCCTTCTCCTGCTTGATGAATGATCCAGCTGAATATGGATTCTTTTACAATGGCCCCCACTCCCATCTTAATTGACAGTTTAACATTCCGTAAAATGGAATGTTGTGGGGGTAGTAAAATGGAATGTTGTGGGGGTAGAGGGGGCTGAGAGAGAATTATAAGGCATGACCTTGGGGAGCTTATGAACTGGTTCAGAATACTACATTTGGAACTAATAGATAATTAGTGATCAAGTCATGACAATACAGAATTAAGTGTTAAGTTACCTATCAACAGTAGATGCAGTGAGGCTCTGCAGAAGTTAGGAAAAGTCAGGGTTTGATCTGTGCTTTAGTTGGGTAGAATTTAGAAGAAGAGAAATTGACAATATAGGGAGTGAAGTTTTGGGGAGCCAAGGCTCAGAAATAGGATAAAACAAAGACTTTAGTGGAAGCATGTGATATGACTGGAGATCACTAAAATGGGTAAGTGGGGTCAAAACTGAAATTCTCAAGAGATGATGACTTTATAATGAGTTTTCATTCTTACAAGAGTGGTGTGCCAGAAAGGGTAAAAGAATCAGAAGTCTTGGGTCCCGAACTAAAAGTCAAGTTTCAGGGCTTAGCATTGTCTAGCTTATTATACATTCTGCTTTCTTTTGGAAAGTTAAAAGAAGTTGGAAAAGGCTGAGAGAGAAGGGAGAAACTGTTAAAAGTCTCTAGTTTTTTAAAGTATAAACTTAGAAATTATAATTGCTGTCATTTCCTGTTTAGGTGATGGCCCACAGTCAGTATCAGAATTCGAAAAGAATTTCCATCTTTCTAAGCATGCAAGATGAAATTGAGACAGAAGAGATCATCAAGGACATTTTCCAACAAGGCAAAATCTGTTTTATACCTCGATACCAGTTCCAGAGCAACCACATGGATATGGTAAAATTAGAATCACCTGAGGAAATTTTTTTACTTCCCAAAACATCCTGGAATATTCATCAACCTGGTGAGGATGATGTTCGTGAGGAGGCTTTGTCGACAGGTGAGTCTTTTGGTGTTAGAATGGATGTCTTAGGATGTTGTCAGCTGTGATGAGATTTTAGATCTCAGATCCACCTGTTATGTTTGGGTCAGGGGAATTGTTTTTCCTCTATGGATGAATTTGTATTCCACTTATATTTCGAACACCCATATTACCTGGGTTAGGATATGGTATCTTCTGTAAGTTATGAAGTGTCAACTATACTAGTAAGGTATCAAGCAAGGTATTGTTTTCACATAGGCGCTTGCCCTAGATTTATAGGCTGAGTAATTTTATCCTTTCTCAAGGTTCATTTATACTCTGTAGGCTAGTAAGTATATTATTATTAATGCTAGTGCCTTTATATATCCAGGTTAGACCTATCAACTACCCTCTGGGCATTTCTACTTCTATGTCATGTGGGTATCTCAAATGCATCATGTTCCAAACTGAATCATCTTCCTTTCAATCCTGACTACCACATACCAATCTCAGTTCATGGTACCATCAGCCATCCATTTGGCTATGCCAGATATCTTAAGGTCTTGATTCTTCTTTCCTTTGTGCCCTACATGCATTCTGTTGCTAAGTTTAAGATGCCATAGTCTCTTGCCTGGGTTACTACTGTAACACCCTCTAACTGTTCATGTCTACTTCTTGCATCCTCTCCTCCCTCTCAGTTCACTATCTACATAGTAATTTATTTATTTTGGGGGGTGTGGTTGGTACTGGGGATTGAGCCTAGAGCTTTACACATGCTAGGCAAGCACCCCGCCACTCAGCTACATCCCCATAGTAATTGAAACAAGATATCTAAACATCAGTGTGAACTCTTCTCTTGCCAGTTCATAGTCTTTTGGTGACTGCCTGCTGCCTTTAGGTGAATAAACACTCCTTTAATGAGGCTCTTCCTGATCTTGGTCCTCCTTATCTTCCATTTTCATGTTTTTCAACACTTGGACTTCATGGTGTTAATTTCACCCACTCTGAGTGTACTCAGTTTCTCAATTCAACTCTGCTTTCTCTACTGCTGGCTCTTTTGGTAGCAAGCTTTTTTGTTTATTTACTTATTTTAAGGAAAATCCACGAAAGGCACAAGGAACAGACTGAAAGAAAAGTTATGCACATTGTCATTGTTACTGCAAAAAAGAAGCCCTATCTTTTGTAGTAATTTAAATTTATTTTTTTAAATAAGTAAATTAGTTTTAAAATTTTGTTATATATGGCAGCAGAATACATTACAATTTATATTATACATATAGAGCACAGTTTTTCATACCTCTGGTTGTACACAGAATAACACCATTCATGTCTTCATACGTGTACTTAGGGTAGTGATGTTCATTTCATTCCACCGTCTTTCCTATCCCTATGCCCTCTCCCTTCCCATCCCTCCTCTTTGCCCTATCTAGAGTTAATCTAATCCTCCTATATTCCATTGTGTGTAAATGCCACATTTTCCTTATCCATTCATTTACTGAAGGGCTTCTAGGTTGGTTCCACAGTTTAGCTATTGTGAATTGTGCTGCTATAAACATTGATGTGGCTGTGTCCCTGTAGTATGCTGTTTTTCAGTCCTTTGGATATAGACTGAGGAGATGGATAGCTGGGTCAAATGATGGTTCCATTCCATGTTTTCCAAGGAATCTCTATACTGCTTTCCATATTGGCTGCACCAACTTGTGGTCCCACTGTATGAGTGTACCTTTTCCCCTACATCCTTGCCGACACTTATTGTTGATTGTGTTCTTAATAGCTGCCATTCTGACTGGAGTGAGATGAAATCCTAGAGTAGTTTTGATTTGCATTTCTCTATTTGCTAGAGATGTTGAACATTTTTTCATATATTTGTTGATTGTATATCATCTTCTTAGAAGTGTCTGTCCAGTTCCTTGGACCATTTATTGATTGGGTTATTTGTTTTTTAGGTGTTTAGCTTTTTGAGTTCTTTATATATCCTAGAGATTAGTGCTCTGTCTGATGTGCATATGGTAAAAATTTGCTCCCAAAATTCACCTCACTGATTGTTTATTAAAGCTTTTTAGTTTGAATCTATCCCATTTATTGATTCTTGATATGGATTCTTGCACTATAGGAGTCTTATTAAGGAAGTTGGGGCCTAATCCAACATAACGGAGATTTGGGCCTACTTTTTCTTCTGTCTCTAGTTGTATTCCTAGGTTCTTTATCCACTTTAAGTTGAATTTTGTGCATGGTGAGCGAAAGGGGTTTACTTTCATTTGGTTGCATGTGGAATTCCAGTTTTCCCAGCACCATTTGTTGGAGAGGCTATATTTTTTCCAATGTATGGTTTTGGAGCCTTTGTCTAATATAAGATAACTATAGTTATATGGGTTAGTCTCTGTGTCCTCTATTCTGAAGCATTGGTCTACAGGTCTATTTGTGCCAATACTATTGCTGTTTTTGTTACTGTTGCTCTATAGTATAGTATAAGGTCTGGAATAGTGATGCTACCTGCTTCATTCTTCTTGCTAAGGATTGCTTTAGCTATTCTGGGTGTCTTATTTTTCCAGATGAATTTCGTGACTGCTTTTTTGATTTCTATGAGGAATGTCATTGTGATTTTGATTGGAATTGCATTAAATCTGTATAGTGCTTTTGGAAGTATGGTCATTTTTATAATATTAATTCTGCCTATCCAAGAGCAAGGTAGATCTTTCCATCTTTTAAGGTCTTCTTTGATTTCTTTGTTTAGGTTTCTGTAGTTTTCATTGTATATATCTTTCACCTCTTTCATTAAATTGATTCTCAAGGGTTTTTTTTTTGAGGCTATTGTATATAGCGTAGTTTTCCTCATTTCCCTTTCAGAGGATTTGTCACTGATGTACAGAAATGCCTTTGATTTATGGGTGTTGATTTATATCCTGCTACTTTGCTGAATTCATTTACTAGTTCTAGAAGTTCTCTGGTGGAACTTTTTGGGTCTTCTAGTTATAAAATCATATCATTGGCAAATAGTGCTAATTTCTTCTGGTTCTTTATGCATACTCTAGCCCATGACTGCTTAGGCGATTTTATTGTTATTAAGCAGTCAAACAGCTGAAAGCAAAATAAGCTAAAGGTGCCTGTTTGTATTATAAAGCCTCAAACTCATCATAGAAGTGTATATTCTGACTAAGACTTAAAAGAAATTTCATCACAACTTTATGCAGTCTTATACTAATATCTGTTTCATTCAATATAACACTATGCCTTATAAAATCAAAATGGTAGAGCTGGAGGTGATAGGGTCAAGGACTTATCAATTTTGTTACTTTAACTTCTCCTGTATTTTCCAGTCTTGAGGTTTGCTAATTCTGAGGCATGAAAAGCATATTCAGATCTACATCCTTCATGTCTTTTATCATTAGACCAGATTAATGTCAGCATTATAAGACTCTTTTGTGTCTTCAAGGGGAAAGATTGTAAGCATTTTGATTTCAGTGAGACAATAAGGGAATATAGCATATCTTGGGGGGGTGAGGGGAGCCCAAGTTTATAAGATAAGGAAATACAGGAAGTTTTAGGCCTTGACATTGCTCAAACTTAAGCTACTTCTCTAGACTCCCAGGTTCTAGGACAGAGCTCAGAGAATGTTCCCAATCTGGCTGACTATGTAAACTGCTCCTCTGGTGCTTGCATTATTTCTGTAATGTACTTGCTAAATGAAATTCTGCATGGTTTTCTCCAATAACCAGTTCCTCCAGAGGCAGCTCGTTCCTTTTAGAATAGCTCTGCCCTTTCTATACTGTCTTCCTTGGGTTAAACTAAAATATGTTCTTTTGAACTTTCATACATTTGTTCATTCCATTCAAGTCCAGCAGTGGGAAGAGCTTTAACTTAATTGTTAAGAGATTGGAATAAACTCAGTTCAAGTCAGTGAGCTAAATTATCCATATATGTATGTTTTTTAGTATGTCACTTGGCACATAGGAGCTGTTCAGTAAATGATAACTACTATTTTTTAAGGAAAGCAAAATTTTGCTAGCCAAGGATTTCATGTTTTAATAAATTTCCACCAGATATTTTCTGAGCATGTGTTTTGTGTCAGGTGCTATTTCAGATTTAAGGTTCTGGACTTCAAGGGACTCACAGTCTACTGGGAGACAGAAATTGTATATTAATAGAGTAAGTATCCCAACCTGTAGTATATGTCAAATATAAGTGTCAAATGAAAAGTCACTGAATATTAAAAACACAGAAGTTTGGAGATTGATCCTGAATTTAAAAAAGGCTACACCCAAAACTGGTTGTTAATTTTTTTCTCTTCTATGGTGTTTATCCATGCTGTATGTGTGATAGCTATGCTATATTTGTGATATCAGTGGCTTTCTTCCCATGCACTTTTCTTTGTAGATACTTGCAAGCTGGGTTGCAGAGGATGGGGATTATATCGAAGTTTCTTGCCACTGCAGTCTGGGGGCCTAAGGTCCCCAATGTTGTTTATAGAAACGTTTGAGTAGGCAGTTCTCTGTTGTTTGTTATCTCCTGGCATCACACTCTGCACTGTGGATTTTTACTAGCATCAGCAGCTTAGAATGTGGCAACTTCAGTGCTAAAGCATAAATCTAGCTTCACAGTGTTTGGGACAAGCGGATCAAAGCTCAGATTGTTCTCGGTGTAGCCTTTGTAGTCTGTTTATCTTTTTTGTTTGCTCATGTTATCTCAGCTTAGAAAAGAGTGAGCTTTGGTGTTCTGAGTTGCAATTTTAAGTTTCTAAGCAAAAAACTTATTTTGTATATAGCAAAATAAGCCAATTAGCAAATGAAGTAGAGGGACTGCCTCTGTACTGAAGTATCTTCGAAATGAGGGATGCTTGGGCAATTAGATTATCTATCAGGTATCGTTCCGTTGAGAGTATATAATCTGATTCAACCTGGCTTATGCAAAAAATGGGATTTTATTGGTCCAGAAACTGAAGAATCCATAGAGTTGTGTCATTAGAAGTCAATCTTTCTCTTTTGTCTCTGCTTCCACCTATGTTGGCTTCATGTTGTAAGGCCACATGGTAGTCCGTGGAG